ACCTTTTAGTTGAAAAAGAGGTGGCTTAGCATGATCTACAAATCAACTACAAACTATATACTAAATAAACTAAATAAAAATTATTCATTCTGGTTTTGCAGATCAGTGATCCACAGACCTCAGTTTAGGAATGTCTGATTTAGGGGGAAGATAGCAATATAGGACCTATGATTTTTAAGTTGTCATGACTCCACATAGATCTGATAGAGAATTTGTCTGTGTAAAATTCATGTAAATATACATAGACATACATCATATATATATACAAACATACACAGTAGGGCTATGCAAAATTTTGGCAGCCGTTTCATTTTGGAGTTGTTTTGGCCTGTTTCGACCTGAAACATCGAATCCAAAATGAAACAGAAGGCTCCAAAACATCTCTGAAACAAAACGAAACCATCCAAAATGTTTTGGAAATGTTTTGGATGTTTCAGATGTTTTGGATCTGGGCTTTCAGGGAAACAGAAACTAAGGAGAGGGAGGAGGAAGAGGGGTGGAAGGACTTCTCTGATATTGACATCTGTAGCTGGCCAGTGTCTGCAATCTGTCCCTGATGTCCCTTCCGATCCCAGTACTTTTGGTGGAGGGACGGCAGACTGCTGTCATCCCACAAACAGATCCGAGGTCTCATGCCCCCCAGGAGGAGTCTGGCACAGCCCTGCAGCCCTCCCTGAGGGCGCAGGCCCCTTGAACTGCGTGCAAGTGACAGCATACTACCACTGCTGGCTGGGGCCAGTGCTAGCACCCAAGTCTGCCTGGCACAGCCTGCACCAAGCACAGCTGGGGGAGCTGCAGGAGAAGCCCCCATGGCTTCCCTGCCTGGCCCCATCCTTTGCCCAGCCCAGCCTCTTGGCACTTAAAAAAAAAACAAAACCCTGTGCCTACTGGCTGTAGCAGAGCCTGTAGGGCAGAAGGGGCTCTGAGGCCTCCTGCCAGAGCCCTCCCATGCAGGCCCTGCTACCCAGTCTTCTGCCCGCCCCCCCACCAGCAGCCCAGGAGTATAAAAAAAAACAAACAAAGCCCCGCACTCACCAGCTCTGGGAGCAGTGATCAGGGCCTCTGAGGGCTCATGGAAGATCCTCCCCATGCGGCTGAGTGGTGCCAGGCTCTGGCTGACACATGGAGCCACCCCAGCTCCCAGACAGCGTGCGGCCCCCTGCCTAGCTGCACTGCACCCGCACCATGGGGCAGCTGCCATGCGGGTGCCGGGTTGGGGGGTGATCCCTGCTGCCCCCCAGTGCCCTGCGCTGTACCTGGGGGCTCTGCCATGAGCCCTCAGGTGCCCCGATCACCACTGCCAGAGCCAGTGAGTGCGGGGCTTCTTTTTTTCTTTTTCTTTTTTTTTTTTTAAGTGCCGGAATGCCAGGGCCAGGTGGGGGATGGGGGTTTCTCCCGCAGCTCCCCCTGCCCAAGGAGAGCCAGGCACAGCTGGAGGAGCTGTGTGAGAATCTGCAGCTGCCCAGCTATGCCTGCCTCTCCCCGGCGGATCTGAATCTCCGAAACAGTGTTGAAACTCTGAAACAGATTCAGCTGATTCGAAACAGAGCAGTGATCCAAAACACCAAAATGAATCACTATCCTCCGAAATGGCTGAATCTGAGATCGAAATGAGACATATCCATTTCACATAGCTCTAATACACAAATACATATATTTGAAACCTCCTGCTTCGCTGCTATCTGTTTACCTCACCTTGGAATGAAATGTCATGCAATGGTGATAGTACATAGCAAGTATTTTATTTATGTAGAAGCCCACATGGACAAAGATGGTATTCAGACTTGGGAAAACTTTTGCCCATGTAGACAGATTGCTAGACAACAGACCACCTAGTTGGAGACTTAAGCGTGATAAGACTGATTGGGAGAGTCATAAGATGGAGGTGACTGCAATTTGAGAATAGCAGACATGTCACACCAGTCATTTTGAAGAAAGGGACTGAGAAGACAAGAGCCTCAAACAAACTGAACTAAACCACTGGGGTGAGAATATAGAGACAGGAAAGGGTGCAGGTGCTTTATATTTTGTTTAGATTTGCATGCATCTTCTGCCATCTGATGTAATAAGTAAATGTTTTAAAAGTCATGCTTTCCTAATATATTGCTATATTGATTTCTCTTCCACTGTGGACAAGTTATGTTTTATTATGAAAGACAAATACCAAAACTGGAGGAATATACCCTAATGCTACAATGTTTAAGGTTTAACCGGTCACTCCTTCCTCAGCACAGTCCATTCTCACTGTAGTAGTTGTCTTCTGAGAAGCTCTGAGGGAAACTTCCCCACACAACAAAGTACAGTGGATTTTGAAGTGCTACCCTACCTAGGCCCATGTAAATTGACCATATAGCCTCATTTGAAAGTTATTTTTCACTATGCTGTCCCATGTTGTTTCAGAGCTGCCAAAAGTAACAAAGACGCTATCAAAGCTGCTTGCATTCCTCAAAGGAAATGTTAACAGCAGTTGTCCAGTGCTTTTAGATTAACTTAATAAAATCATTAGTGTCATTTCAGATTTTGGTTGAGGTTTCTTGAAAAACTTTTGTGCACCAAGAAATGTGTTGTTGAACTACTAACAGCATCAGCTCACTTTTAACATGCCTTTTTGTAGGACTATTTTGCAGTACTAAAAGTTATCACTATAAAAGTGTCTCCTTTTTTTATTCTGAAAATACGGACACATAAGCATACGCTTGACCAACATTTCCTCTAAATGAGAGACAGCTTTAGCTGCAGACACACTACAAAATATCTAGAAAAGAGCTACAATCACATCAGTTTATTAATGCTAGTCATCTATAGACTTCGAGGGATATTTATTCCATTTTTATACAGTACATTTTCCTCATATGGTACTTGTGTTTAGGAATGCAAGTATCAGTTAAAGTCTGCTTGAATTTCAGAGCATTTTCTTGTGCCAGGGCACATGTTAGTATAAGTTATAATGACAGTGGGATTGTAAGTATTCATATCTATATTCTAAATCCATCCAACAATGTTCGTGTTCTTAGTAAAGCAGAATGGAAACAATCCCATTTCTAATATAAGCTACTTTAGAATCTACCTTGATACATTATGAGAACTTGTAAAAATCCAATAGGCACCTCCTTTTTAAATGTCAGTGATGATTCAAAATTCTGTAACACACTTTTTCATTAGATATTATCAAGATGAATCATTACCCTACATAGACCATTACCACGTTCTTCCAAAAATCTGATATATTTAATTACCAGGGATCTGAGTTTTCTATTTGCCATGGTAAAACATGGCAAAATATGGTTTTCCCTTTTAAAGGCAAAGGTCCAGCCTGTGAAGGGCTGCTTAGAGCTGGGGGAGTAGGACGCAGGGCACACCATGTGCATATGCGCAGGCACATGCATGCGGTAGCCATGCAGCATGGTGGAGAGCAGCTCCTGCAGCTCCTGGCAGATAAGTCTATGGGAGCAGGGAACAGGTGATACATGGGGGGCATGTGCCCCCTCCCCCACGCCCAATTTCTGCACCCACAGTAAGGTGTGCAGCCACAGCCTGGCTAGACCAGCTCCAAGCAGGAGCTCCTTCTGCGGCCCAGTGGGTGGGACCCGGTGTGGGAGACAGCGCTTGCCACCATGGCCACCAAGGTGAGGCAGCAGCAGGGACCCCAACTCTGCACTGTTGATGCCACCACTGCACCTCACCTTGGTAGCCACGGTGCCACAGCATTCCCTCCCAGGCTAAGTCCTCACCTGCTGGGCCACAGAAGCAGCTCCTGCCTAGAGCTGGTCTAGCCATGCTGCAGCCCATGTCTCTCTGTGGCCACAGAAATCTGGGGGTGACACATGGCCCCCGATGTGTTGCCTATGACCCTCTGCCCTGCTGTATGTTGCCTGTGCCCCTCCTGCCACCACGTGTCAGCTATGCCCACACCCCCGCTCCCCACACATCCATCTTGTTCCGAATACACTCACACCCACTTCCTCACACACTGGAGGGCTGGGAGTGCCAGCAGGGATGGAGAGGGTGGGGGACTATGGTTCAAGAGTGCAAGGCACCTGCAGGGTTAGAGGCTTGGGGGGCAACAACATGGGCAGGGGCAGGCACCAGCATATCAGGGCTGCTCAGCACCACAAGCAGCAGTGGGGCAGCCACAGCTGGACCTGCATCCTGGTGAGCTCCGATTTTCTGTGATTAAAAAAAAAAAACTCAAATGCCACAATAGATAAGTATTTGGAACTTATTTTATTATAATGATTGAGGAACTGTTAGGCTTCCAAATTGCTTTAAATAGTAAATATATCAATAAAACACTGTGTTCCACTGATACATGCGCACACATATATACACAGGGGGGGAGAGAGAGAGAGAGAGAGAGAGGCACTTCATTGTATTTGTGGAAAAGGGTGGATGGGGGGGTTTAATCAGAAAATTTGGGATTTTTAAACAAAAAAAAGCGGGATCTCTGTTCATTATAGTATCTTGTATCAGAGTATTTCATGGGAAAAAATTCAGGAGACAGATACAGCTCTTAAATCAGTGTTTCTCAATCCATGGGTCACAAGAGTATATGAAAGGGTCACAAACACACTTTAGAAATGGATTCTCCTCTGAAGGAGAAAACTGTGGGGAACCATGGTTTTCCCCTTGAGGCTGGCAGAGTTCCAGCCTGCAAGGATCTGCTTAGAGCTCCCCATGCCCTACACACTGGGGGATCTGGGGCTTGGGGGTGGGGGGCAGCGGGCTGGGAATGTGGGTCAGGACTGGCCATCAATGTTTACAAATGGGTCCAGATACAAAAAAAGGTTAAGAATCACTGTCTTAAATCATATTAACTGTCAATCACACTAGTTATATTTTTCTAACACTTAAGTATTTATAAGATAAAAATGGAATTTTTTTTCTCATATTTTTCAGAAATAAGACAATATTCCAAGAAATGGAAGCTGCTGCTATACAAAGGAAGAAAGACAAATTAACTTCAGCGTTAATATCCTCTACTTGAGATCCATGAACAATTATACAGTTACTTTTCTATATCGAACTTTATGGTTTGTTAATAATATGCTGCCTTTGTGGGACTCAGAAATGCTAATGGTAAGAAGGCTATTTATTCACTGCACTGAATAGAAGAGCTGCAGGAACAATGGCTTCAAAGGTCTCATGTTTATACGTGCTAACAGTAGTTTGTTGGGCAAGTGCTCTTTGGTACTTAAGTATAACACGTCCTACTTCTTCCTACAGTGGCCATAGACAGTTCAATACCATATCAATAGCCAGGAAAAATGTCTCTTTTGGCAACATAAGAACTCGACCTATAAATCCACATTCATTTGATTTTCTTATAAATGAGCCTACTAAATGTGAGAAAAGCATCCCTTTTCTAGTCATTCTTATCAGCACAACTCACAAAGAATTTGATGCAAGACAAGCTATTCGAGAGACATGGGGAGATGAAAACAACTTTAAAGGCATTAAAATTGCCACTCTCTTCCTCCTAGGGAAAAATTCAGATCCTGTGTTAAACCAGATGGTAGAGCAAGAAAGTCAAATTTTTCATGATATTATCGTGGAGGACTTCATTGATTCTTATCATAACCTCACCCTTAAAACATTAATGGGTATGAGGTGGGTGGCCACATTTTGTTCTAAAGCAAAATATGTCATGAAGACAGACAGTGATATTTTTGTAAATATGGATAACCTTATTTATAAACTGCTCAAACCCAACACCAAGCCAAGAAGACGGTACTTTACTGGTTATGTTATCAATGGAGGACCAATTAGGGATGTCCGCAGTAAATGGTACATGCCTAGAGATTTGTACCCTGATAGCAATTACCCACCATTCTGTTCAGGCACTGGCTACATTTTTTCAGCGGATGTAGCAGAAATGATTTACAAAACTTCTCTGCACACTAGACTTCTTCACCTTGAAGACGTGTATGTTGGACTCTGTCTTCGAAAGCTTGGCATTCACCCTTTCCAAAACAGTGGCTTCAATCATTGGAAAATGGCCTACAGCTTGTGTAGATATCGCAGAGTGATCACTGTGCATCAGATAACTCCAGAAGAAATGCACAGAATTTGGAATGACATGTCAAGCAAGAAGCATCTTAGGTGTTAAGATTTTTACAGATGTAAATACTTTTTTTTTTTTACTTGCTTAGAGTGTAATCTAATGATTTACAGGCAGAACTATGGAAATATACTTTGAGGGGTTTTTACTAATGGATTTTTCACTTTTATTTAGACTCCTGGTTTACAGACTTCAGGCTCCTTTCATAAAGGCACAAAAATTAAAAGGGGCCAGAGTCAAATCTAAGATTCTCTACATTCTCCTTGTCAGAGCATTAGAAATCAGCTCTTGATATATATGTACAAGAAACATAGTTCCTAGCCAGAACTGCAGTACAATTCATGCCTGAGCATCTGAGATGGAACTCTGGTCCTCAAAAATAAAGACTCACAGTAACACCTGTATCTCATCCTCCACAAGCATGGCTTTTTGGTCTCTATGCTTAAATATGCACACAAATACAAAATATACCAAGTGTGTATATTTATACAGTTTGAGTAGTATATGTTTGCACTGATTTTATACACCTATACTAACATATGTGTTTTACAGTACAATATGTGCAATGCCAGTCACTGCTGGCAGAAAGGCAGAATTTAGCCAAGTATGGAATACTACACTGAAGACATCTGTGTAACCTCAGCATCCTGCCTGGGAGCTCCACAGTTAAATGTGCCACACTTGCTCTAAGCATTCTTTCTTGAAATCTTAGGGCCTTGTTACACACTAATTTTAGGTGGCTCCTGGAGGTCTTAAACCCCAGATTGTCCACACATTAACACCTGAAACTAGTTTTAAGCTTAAAGTTAGGGCACTCCAGGGCAGGTTTATCTCTGATCTGTGTTACCTAGCTCATATTCCATTAATGTGTGGCCACTCCCCACAGATGAGCTACCCAAGTTGCAGCCCCCTAACATCCCAGGATACAGTGTTCCCTCCACCACCCTCCTGTCCTGTATGGATAAATTTGTATCCCCTGAACTCTACTGCTCCAGGGGTGGTTCTCAAGTCAACTCCCTCTCCTATCCCTGGGGGTGTGACCTTCCTACCCCCCAGGGTTGCAATCCTGTGCAAACAGCCTACAGAGAACACACCAGCTAGGCAGCTCCCAGGGCATGGATGGGTCCAGGAGTAAGGTCTAAGGGGGTTAGGGGTGGGGAACAAGGTAGGCAACCAGATTGGGTCCCCACAAGCTGGGGCTTCCTTCCTGGGATAAGGGTAGTAGCTCCCTCAAAAGAGCTTTCCCTCACTGCTCCAACCTCTCAGCCACTCTGGGAAGCACGAACAGCACCCTCCACACCCCAATCCAAATTTATAAAAATATGAGACCTCCTTTTATTTATCTCCTCTTTATTTCTTCTAAATTATTATTTTTAACTAATTTTTATTTTATCCTTCAATGGCTGACTTCCTTCATCCCACCCCCATATCATTCCCCCATTCCCATCTCCTTTCCCTCTTCCATTTCATTACCCACCCCATTAACTATTCACCTCCCTGCTTTATATTACTACCTCTTCCCAACCTCCACAACCCATCTCACACAGCCCTCCCCCCCCCCCCCCCAAAGGAAGGATAGAAACCTGTCATGGCATATCAGCCCCGTAGCAGCAACTCACACCTGTAGCTCCTAGTCACCAGCCCTCTAGTGGCAAGTCACAGTTGTGCCAGTGGGGGACAGAAGGTTTTCAGCCTTAAGGTGTGACTGATCCAGACTTGAGCTGGCTCTAACTCTGGTCAACACTGAGCAGCTCAAAGTGCAACATGTCGCAAGGTCCTTATTGGGATGCACTTAATGCTACATTAGGTGTTATGTTCCATTTTTAATGCATGTGGAGGATACGTGTTGTGCTTCACTGTAGCACTCCTTGACATTGTACTGAGGCACTGTAGACATGCCCCAGGATTCAGAATACCATAGATCTTAGATATAGCCCACCCACAAAAACCAAAATGTATGTCCTAAAAGGTGACACGTAGGTCAACAATTTAACACACAGTTTTCTCTCACTCTCAGTCTGAAATAGGGCCTCAAATATAATTTGTTAACCTTAAATACAATCTGTTTAAAAAAGAAGACCAAGCAGCTGTGTGCAACAAAACTACATTAAATACACATCATACCCATATTAATTATAATGATTCTAAAAATACCCTGGCTTTCTCTTTGTAAAAAAAGTGCAACATATCTCATTAGTACTGGTAAGTACTGGTAAGTATGTATATATATTTCTCTATTAGTATTAATACTATCTTGGTCTTGAATTATTGAAATAGATATGTTATGGGCACCAAAAGCTTTTTTATAAAATCTTTACAGTGTATGCCACAGTGAACATGTAATTTTATTGAACAATCAAAATGTCAATTATAATAATCCTTTCCCAGTGGGTTATTAAGTAAACATAAATTTAAAATACACATCACATAATCCTTATAAAGTATTAATTCTTAGATCTAATTTTGCTTTTTTATATAATTTATATTGCAATAAATGGAATTACTTCCGTTTTATAAGGGTTGCAGAACAGAATTTTGCCTATGCAAAGAAAGCAAAGTCAACTGTTCTGTAAGCAATTTAAGGAGCATATACCAACAGTTATATACCTTTTGAAAGAGAGAACAGATCTTCTTGACTTTTAGAACCAACATGTTCTATTTGGACCTCAGTATATACATCAGCTAAATTCTAGCCTTTTCAACAAGGTGAAGCTGCCAGTTAAGTTGTTAATCAACCAAGAAGTCAGTGAGGCCCAGTTCAGGATATCATTCCAACTCAGGATCTCCCTGAAGCATAGGTTTAATTTGAAGCATGTGTTGCAAATAATGGAATTCAAGCCCATTCTTAAGTTAAACAATGTTTTTAAGTGCATTCATGAATCAGAGCCTGGGAAATCTCTAGGGCAGAATTTGATCTTCGGACTGCATAATCAGTGACTGCTTAATTTAATTTTTCTCTCTAGATGGAATTTAATTTTCCTTTCCCCCTTGAGAAATCCCTTCCATCCCTGGCCATTTGTTTTTCATACTGGTACATATCTACTCCTATATCTCAGTAGTAGGCAATGAGAATAGATAGTAGGGCTATATTAATAATGAAAAAGTATTTTGTTTGATTCTCTAAGAAATTTACTTTTACTGCCTTCCTGCCAGTGTGCTTCCTTTGATATTCTGCAAGTGGACTTCCTGGCAGGGTGCTCACATGATCAAATTGCAAAGTAAATTTTCACCTATTCACACCAAAAATCTAGAGAGTTACTCTCAATCACCCAGATGGACTAATCTCTAATAAAAAACAAATAAATTTAAAAAATCAAATACAGGGGGTCAGAAAGTAATTTAGAAAATAAAATTCAAAATGCTTGCTTTGTTTTGGGAATGGTCAAAATTAAACTTCTTTTTTTTTTTAATCATATTTTTTGTGAAAATGGTTCTCTCAAATTTCCATTTGCTGAAAAAGTTTTCAGAAAATGCAAAACTTCCATAACTCTTTTGACGACCTATTTTGAAACATATTTTTTTGGAATATAATTTTAATATTGGCAGGGTTCTCTCCCCCGCCGAAGAATTCTGGAAAGGCCTTTTTTGTACAAAAGGTTTTGTTTAAAAACTTTAACCATTTGTAGTCACAATAAACTGCTCACATAGATGACAATGAATTAATTAAAATTCTTCACTGAATCTTTTTAGCACCTAATTCAAGAACATTGCTGCATGTTAACAGACAGTTTGCAAACATCAAAGAGGCAAAAATTGATCAAAATAATTTACAAGCTATGGATTATTCATAAAATTACAAATTCAGTGTTGGAGTGAAAAGTCTGAACTAATTTTGACTTTAACATTATCTGTTATTAATATGCCATAGGTGTGCATAGCACTTTATAAATGAATGAGTAAATGAAAGTGTCTGCCCCAAGCAGCTCACAATCTAATGATGCATTCTGCTAACCTCATTCACATGAACAGTACCACTGATTTCAAGGTAATGACTTGTAAATAAGATGATGGGCATTTGCTCTTTAAATCACAATGCTACACTACAACGAACAAAAACACTAGATAGGGGGCTTCAGAGTTGGAAGTGAGGTTGTCCAGTTATTAGTAACCAAGAGTAGCCACTAACTACCAATTGTAGTAGCTTGTGTACCATTGTAGAAAAAAAGATAAAAAATGTTGGCTATAACCATTGAATTTGTTTCAATAAAATTAGGATAAATCCTTCCCAGCACACCTAGTCCTTGTTAAAGCTGCTCTTGCTTCTTGCCAAACTCTGAACTCTAAGAAAAGAAGGTTCAACTAACTGCACATATGAATATATGTATATAATATATATTATAAATATATGTACACACATTGGGTGAAATTCACCCTTCCATCCACAAGCCCAGGTACGTACAGGTGACTAAGCGGAGGCTGAGGGATTCAGTTCCTTCATAACCTGTGGGTAAACCACACGCTGCATGTGCAGCACCACCATGAACACTTATTGTATTTTACTCTAACTAGTAGAGGCTGGAATAGTTTCTGCTGTCCTTCTACACTGTGCAGTGATTTTTGGCCACTGGATCCACAGATGTATGGACCCTGTGGCCCTACCTCCTCCCTGCTGGCCTATTTGAGGCCAGCAAAGAGACCACTCGCTTTAGTAACCATAAAGGTTGCAGGGGTCCCATTGCTACCAAACACAAGACTAAAGAGTGGCCTGTAGGCCTTGAATATCCCATTTTATAAATAGACTGCCTCAGACAGCCTGAAAATTGTATTACATTTGGAAAGTATATCTTGAAAATACTTTTTCCTGGCATTTATAAATAAATAGATCTTTCAACTGAAATGTAAATGTTTATCATGGAACTTGTGTACATATTTCTAAGGCATTTTCTTCTGTATTCAGCTGTATATATGTGTAGAATCTGCTTGCTACGTAACATTCTTTATGCATGGATCTGGGTTAGACATTATATTTGTCCAGTGTTTCAAGAGCCTTAAGCATGTGTGCCCTAATTTTTGAATGTAAAAATTTTTTTATGTCAAGTGAATTAAAA